TACTACAAGAGGGGGGTGACACAATTTGGATTTATGGTTGTGACTGCAGAGGTGATCTGCAGGTTTTGATCCTGCTGAAAATCTGGAATCTTAATTCCATCCACTAGGGGAACAACATTATCACCCTCATAAATCGCATCTAGAGGCTTCGGCTAAAGACGGGTGAGTTGGGTCAAGGAAATTTATACTTTACATGGGTTCTCAACTTGTAATAGTTCTTTATGATTAAATAAATAAACGACACCAATTTGATTATAGGATTAAAAAAAAAATTAAACTATTGTATTGTAATATAGCATACCTGCTGTAAGCCTAAAATCTCTAAATATGATAGTAGAGAATGAAAATATTGCTCAATTTTATTCTGATACTTTCACCAGTTTAAAACATTACAGCCAACCCTTATTCAAGACTGTATTAAAATACTTTTATATAATATTTTTTTAAATATACTGTATATACTGTATATATATTATTTTTTATAATTATATATAAAGAATTTTAATAATTAATATCATAATAAAAGTTAAATGAACTTGTTTTTTAATAGTAAAATAGTTAATAAATAATTAGATCTAGAATTATGTACAAATTAAAAAACTTATACTTTAGTATAAAATTTTTTGAAAATCCTCGCAAATTGCTACTATTCTACGGTTATCGATTTTATCGAAATCGTCATAGATATCTGTTAAAAGAAAAAAGTCTAATGTTATTAAATCCTTTAATAACATAGTAATGTAATATTTCATTGGATCAATTTCTTCCACGTCATAAGTTGCATAGCCAATGTGCGTTTTGAAAGATATTTTTGATGAAAGATAAGAAAAACTTAAATCTGTAACTTATCTAAATATGGTAATCAATAAAACAGGTTGACATCATTAAAAGGGAATTGTTATCATCACATGAACAACAGTACATTGAGTCAGGTACGTAAATACGTACGTACGGTAACCAATTTTTTTTTTTTTTTTTAAATTTGACCGAATCGCTTCAACCATGGCAACTCCAAGTAAACGTAAGTGCTTCGTCTGTCTACACAACTTGCGAGTTTAGAAACCAATATTTAGTTGGTGTTTAGTATTTTCTTTCTTGACACACACTGAAATAGCTAACGGCGTTTTTTTTCTTAAAATAAACCCAGTTTATATCGGTCACCTGTCGCAAAGAACGGAAAAAAGAGATTTAGAAGAATTGGTAAGTATCACTAATAAAAATTTTATTTTTTTAAAAAAAAATATTACAAAGTTTGTTTTAAGAGTTTTTACGTTCCAAGCTTATCTAATCCTGTGAATTTATGTTATTAGTTCGAACGTTACGGAAAAGTATTGAGCGTGGATGTGAAACCAATGGGATATGCTTTTGTCGAGTTTGAGGTTAATAATGAGTATTAATAATGGCATCTGTATCAGGAAGCTTGGTATGTTCCAGGATTATCAAGTTCGATATTGCATTCACTTTGTTGAAGCAATCTTCTTTCTTGAATACATCAACAATAAATTAGGATCCTCGTGATGCCGATGATGCAGTGAAACAACTCAACGGATACGAGTTGGATGGTGCTCGAATTGCAGTAGAGTGGTCTCGTCGGTCTGGCGGTCCGGGGAGTGGATGCTTTCTGTGTGGCGGACAAGGTCATTGGGCTAGGGAATGTCCGGAAGCTCGGGAAAAAGGAATGGACGTTAGAAGTGGACGATGCTTTAGATGTGGAGAATTGGGCCATTTAGCAAAATATTGCAGGTAAGTCTACCAGTCTTCGTTGAAACTAAATAGTCTTTTGTTATGCATGGATCCCTTTTAACATCAGCGTGCAAATAATTTGCAGAGGTGGAAGTGATTACGATCGGAGGGCACCATCTCCTCGTTACCGAGGTCGCTCTCCTTACTACGGGGGACGTAGTTATTACGATGATTACGATCGTTATCGTCGAATTTCCAGATCTCCACCAGCAACTTACGGTGGTTCCGGCAGTGGATCTTACAGCGGACCTCCAAGAAATCGCTCGAGGAGCCCTCCTTATAGAAGAAGTCCAAGTCCATATGGGTATAACGATTATGGAAGAAGAAGTCCGAGTCCTTATGGGTATGTTTATGGACGGTGAAATTTTGGTTTTTTGAGACTTCACAATTAGATCGCTAGTTTATATTATTTTCATTCGTCTGGATTACCGGAGAGTATGATGGTTTTCATAGTGGGCAGGGCATTTTACATCAATGGATTGTGTGTAATCAGGAGTTTGCATATTTTTTATGCGGAGGCTCATAGACTTTTTAAAGAAAAATTGGGCATCGAGTAGCTCACAAATTTTTTTGCTCTTTTGTCTTTCCGGATACTGGATAAATATTCCATTCTGGACCAACATCTACACAGGCGCTCTAGAAGATATTAAGCATAAAGGAACAGTCAAAAAAGGAGTTTCGTAACAGGATCTTTTGACGGATTATATGGAAGCTTTGATTTCATCAGGATCTGGACGACGTTTGGGCAAGGCGAAATTATTCTTCTCTCTACATATCGAGACTCTGCTTTATCGGATCGGGACTCTTTATTCCTATACGAAGGACTTCTTTTATGAATATTGTTTTAACATCAATTTGTAATAAAGGTTACTTTATATCTGGATAATAAATTTTTTGGTTAATTGTGTATTTCCTTTGTTTAATTATAGTTGTGATCTCTGTTTTCGTTTGCCCCAAATTTTTTGAGTTATTTGTAAAAACTGCATTGCGGCTACATATGAGTGAGTATATTGTAAACTATCGTGCAGTTTTGACGGAAATGTGTAATCCTTTATAAGAATTCCTACGAAGGATATATACTGGAGCGCTATATTTGAAACATAAATTCTTATTTATTACATTTTTATGCCAAATTTTATGTTTTCCAATTTATTTTTTGTAAGTGACAACATAAATGTTGGTTAATATTAGTATTTTAGATGAGTAAAATTAATTGCATTTTAAAGAATATCCTAGTAGTTTTTATTTTATATATTTTTCAAAATCAGATTTTATTTACTTCTTGTCTATAAGAGTCATCAATAAACAGCAAGTATAATTTGTGATTTCTTTCTCAATAAATTCGAAACTTTATTAAAAACAACATCATCAAAAAATATCATTATTTTTTAGACTCATGTAATACAATTAAAATATTTACAACCCCAATGTTTTTCTGACGTTATCGCGAACAATCTTGTTGAATTCCTCGCGATCATTCCTCCAGATTTTCTATGAAGAAAAACGGGAACAATTATTCAGGATGGGTTCATTTTGAATCATTTACACTCCGACAACAGAAAGAAAATCTAGCTTACGCATGCTTCAATATTTGCGCCGCTTTCGTCATTAGGTTCAGCTAACATACTAACAACACTTAATAAAATTTTTTCGACACTTTGAACGGGAGACCAACGCTCTGAAGAACTTTCATACATGTTCGGGTCGTCACCGGGTGGATGAAGGATAGATATGCAGACCGATCCATCTGGATAGACTATTTGTTGCGTTCAATATATTAGCACATCCAGATCTTAAGCGTATCGTTGGAACATGTAATGGTAAATTCCAGTAGATATACCATTAGGGTGAAACATTTCACAAGTAAATTTCATCGTTGGTGGTGATAAAGGGTAGTCGGTGGGAAATCGAAGTATGGCAGGAAATATTCCTCCTTCATAAGGGGTTCCTTCGGGTCCTCTTTTATTTTTCCATACTACTGTTAATTATTATCACCAAAACCCTGTCTTTTTTTCTCTATACTTACGCGATAAGTGCCTCCCATTCAAAAAACGACTCTTCACTTATGGGTCCTTATAATTGAGGAAAATAATTAAATGAATGTGGAATTTATAAACAGATCATAAGAAGACAAAGACTACCTGCTGTTATCCCCTCGGGGGCATTAAGGGTTAATTCTAATAATGAAGATGGATTAACTTCTTTGGACATTATAAAAGAAAACTTTGCGAAATAATTAATTGCCTTTGTATTCGGTCATTAGACGCTTTAGTGCTGTAGAAGCCATATTTCGTGGGGTACCGTACATTCTTTGGCGTGTGTATTTTATTAGTGTTAAAATCTAAATTCAAAAATCCAGGTTAAATCGAGATGATTGAATAGAACCTATAAGGTATTTAGCACCATAATCTGTTTATACTATTTCTTATAAGAAACTGTTTCAC